ATGATTTCATCACCCTTTAGTTTTTTTCCTATTAATATGATCTTTATTTTTTTTTTGTTATTTTTTTTCTTTATAAAACTCACTTCATAATATTTTGTTTGGTTTGCTTTTAGTCATTGCTATTACGATGAGTGTTTTGATGTTGTCGTGCAACTTTTCATAATGGTGTTAGAACCATCTCGACGAGCTCTATCTGGAGGGGCAGTGTCCATAACGGAGCAATAATGAGTCTCCAACATATTTGTATTTTTTCTTTTCTTTAGTATGATATTGATAACTTATTTGTTATAATTAATTATAGCTATAAAATTTTATTTTATTTATTATAGCTTTTTTTAATCATATTGTTAAATTAACTATAGACTTATCTAACATAGCAAAGTTAATAATTTAAGTTTTGATTTTTAATTTTTATTTTTTAAACAGTGTCATCACCCAAACCTTTTTCTAAGTTAAAAATATTAATATAGCACATAATATATCGCAAGACACGTCAAAGAAAATAAAAAAAAATGCCTGGGAGTAAATAGTTATTGTTTTTTAAAGTATTTTTTATTTAAAAATATATTAAATTTTTTTTTTATTTAAAAAAATTATTTTTAATATTAACACACCAAAATAATTTAAAAATAAAAATAAAATTCAAAAAATTTCAAACAGTTTTTAAAGCCTACTCTCAACTCCACCCTGTACCTAGTACTAAAGTAGTTTGAGGCAACCCCGAAACAAAGCATTGGACCCACGTGGCAGCAATGAGTGGTCCCAATCTGACAAGTATAAGAGGTGCCAGCATGGACAGGGAAGAGGATGCCAGCTGTCAATTGAAGAAAAAATAATTGGGCTCGAGACTAGCACGTAATTTTTAATAGCGAGGTGGACAAAACAAGGCAGAGCAAAAACATCACAGGCTGTAATAGTTGAGTGGCGGCACGTCACGTGCTTGCTCACCGCAAAAAATGTTTATTGGTACAGCTGGCTTTTGCACAACAAGACACGACCTCTACCCCTACTCGTTCTCGAGATGCAACACAGAGTCCTTTCTCTCTTCTTTTTCCCAGCTTTCCAGTAATTGCATTTCAAATTTTTAACCATTTATCCATTTTTTGGGTTCCAGTTGTTAACGTTTAGCATGTCCATGTCCCTATCCGCAGGGGAAAAAAACACGTTTTCTATTTTTAATTAATATTTTTTAATAAATTTTTAAAATAAAAATATTTTAAAAAACAATCATTCCTATAATTACAAACATAACCTAGGTAATACTTAATTTTTTTTTTTTTTTTAAATCAATGGATCAATTCATATAAGTTTTTTAATTCTTTATATTTATCAGATGGGGTTCAAAATTATTTATATTTATATATTTTTTAATTCTTTTAGATTTATTGAATTTCAGATGATAAATATCATAAATGATTTAATTGATGAAAGAAGGGAAGCGAAGTCTTCCATGATTTTATAAATGCAAAGTTCTTCATATTCAATGAAGGAGAGACTTGACCTGGTCAGAGAGCTATATCGGCACGAAATAGTGCCCACCGGGCCATGTGTTGATTAACAAAAAAAAAAAAAAACCCAGAAGCATGTAGTACACTGTTTTGTCAGCTAAATTAGTTAATTTTTGTATATTGGAAAATTTGTATAATTTCTTGAACCAAGTAAAAACCTCATCCCTAAAATTTAGTTGAAAAACCTCATCCCTAAAATATGTATTTTATAAGTTTAAATATACAAGTAAAATTTTAATTATTTTAAATTTTTATAAAAAATATATATTTTAAATTGAATTTAAAATTTACCATATAGATTTCAAGTTCTTTATCACCGCCCTTTATTTTACAGAAACTCTTGATCCAAACCACCTACCAATAATTTACATTTACCCTTGTAATTCTCTACTAAGAGGGATGGCATAATAGCTCATGCTGATTTTATTCATATTTTGATTTTATTATGAGCAATTATTATAATTTATTTTCTAAAAAATTATAAATATAAAGTTTTTTTTTTTTGGGTTTTTCATGACCTAACCCAGTTTTAATTGCTCGAGGAGGCAAATTCAACACACAATGTCACGAGAAATTACTGGAGGGTCCCAGTGGATCCGGCTTTTAATTTTTTATTTTATCACGAGAAAATTTTAAATATAATCTTTATTTTTTGGTGTTTATTACCAAATCCAAAATTTAGGAACTCTAATTTTCGAGGAGTTCAGTCCAGTACACATTGTTGTAAGAAATGATAGGATGGCCACAATTAGTCTCTCTCGAAATCACAATTATCACTACCTAAAGTACCTAACCATTATTTTGCAATCTGCTGTTGTTATGATTTCTTCACCAAATCCTGAAGTAGATTGTTTATTGCCCAAGTTTGGCTTCTGTTGTGTATTCCCCTACTTACTCTCAATAACTTCTGTTCTTTACCTAATCATAGAAAAAAAAGTTTGATAAACAAAAATAATTTCTGTATTTTACATTTTACATTGTGCTCAGGTTTAAATTAATATACTTTTTATTCATGGAGGTTTTTTTATTTATTTATCTTCCGTGTAAAAATAAATCTTACAATTATTTCAATCAAATATATATTTTTTAAAACTTATTTAAAAAAACATAACTAAAAATATTTTTTCACTTATATTTTTAAAAATTATAATCATAAAAGTTACCATAATATTAAACACACATCTCCTTTACATAAATTAATATCCATTTCTGTCTAAAAAAATAATAACAATTAGTATTATTAATATCATTCTGTTATGGTGGATCAACCTAATGATCTATTATATCAATTCCTATTTAATTCAGATTTTAAATTAAATGAAAAAATAGTTGATTTAATATGATCCAGTAAATTTAATAAATTAATTTATAATTTAATTAAATTTTTTTCAAAACCACACATACTTAATTTTTTTAAAAAATATAAAATCTCAAAACCGTTGTTTTTGTTTCATATTCAAATCTAATTTGAGTGAAATTATAAAATTGTAACTAGACCTTGGTATCTTAACCTAAATTTAATAACTTTATAGTAACTACAAGCTATTCATTATTCTATAAAAAATAAAAAATAAAAAATAAAAAGTTTTGATAATCACAATACTCATCCATAGATTTTAACCAGCAATCCCAGCACTGCATTATTAAACACATGCGCACCGTGTCTCTAACTAATGTGAAATTTGTAAGTGGATGGTGGTCAAAAAAAGTTTGTTTGAAAATATATTAACTCCGTTATCTTAAAGCACGTGCAGGAAATTAAAAATTATTTTTTTGTAAATAAAAAAATAGATTTATTTTTTTATCAATTAGATTAAAAAAACACCATTTAACCGTAATTTCACATTCAAATATATATAAAAATATAATATATATGTATTTGATAATGTATGGTAGGTAAGTTTTGCCCTGAAATACATATATTACGATCTATCCATATATATTGACGTAGAATTTATGAAGTTTCTCATTTTTATTTTATGTTATTTTTATTTTTTAATTTTTAAAAAAATATCAATTTTTTTGGCACAATCTGAACATCACTCCCTTGCATCTAAATCGTATTATGAGGATATTTTTATCTAAACCTCCTAGGCATTAATATTGAAATTGAAAATATATTAACTCCGTTATCTTAAAGCACGTGCAGGAAATTAAAAATTATTTTTTTGTAAATAAAAAAATAGATTTATTTTTTTATCAATTAGATTAAAAAAACACCATTTAACCGTAATTTCACATTCAAATATATATAAAAATATAATATATATGTATTTGATAATGTATGGTAGGTAAGTTTTGCCCTGAAATACATATATTACGATCTATCCATATATATTGACGTAGAATTTATGAAGTTTCTCATTTTTATTTTATGTTATTTTTATTTTTTAATTTTTAAAAAAATATCAATTTTTTTGGCACAATCTGAACATCACTCCCTTGCATCTAAATCGTATTATGAGGATATTTTTATCTAAACCTCCTAGGCATTAATATTGAAATCAATGATTTTTTTGAATAATTGTTTTATTACATGGATAATTATTTTATTCAATAAATAGTAAAAAATATACAAATATTTTCAAATTTAATAAATATATGTGCGTGTGTATATATTATTTTAGATCAAGTAGTAAATATTACTCTGATAATACTAATATAAATACTTAAAATTTAATAGATAAATTACGACTATAAATTTTTTATTTGTTGAGTAATAAACATGATATGATTATAGCATAAAAACGCTATTTATAGATACATTTTACCATCACTAATTGCATTTTTTTTTTAAAAAAAAATCTAACTTGACTTTCAATGAAGATCTTTAACCCTAACCGACTTCTTGTTTTCTGTCATCATCATTAAGCTTGAGTTTCAATATTAATGCTATTGAACACTTGTGTGAAACTCATAAAAATCTTGCTGATTTATTTTACTGAAAACAACACTACAATATTAGAACTCATGGAGCAAACTGCAAATATTAAAGTTATATTTATTTTTATATTTTAAAAATATTTTGACTTTTTTGATATTTTTAAATTATTTTAATATATTGATATTAAAAATAATTTTTTAAAATTAAAAAAATATTATTTTAATATATTTTAATTTTTTTTTAATAAAAAATAATAATTATTACAATTACACCAATCAAGATACAAAATGAGGTTAGGTTAGATGTAGTTTTTAAATTTTAATTTTCTTTTTAAAATTTAATTAATATTTTTTATTATTTGTTGATATTAAAAATTAAAAAAATATTATTTTAATATATTTTTAAATAAAAAATATTTCAAAAACCACATGCACAAAAACTAACTAAGGTGCCATTATAACAAAATAAAAAAAGTTAATCAAAATAAATAATCCTTTAATCTTCGACTTAAAAACATCATTAATCTTAACTAACGAAAATTAAATTAAACAAATTCTCACTTATATATATATATATATATATATATAACAACTACTAGTAGCAAATGAACCTCCACGAAACCGTCCTCGACACATTTTTCTTCTTCTTCCACTTCTGACAACTGCAACGCGTGGACAGACAGCCCTTTTTGCCCAGTCTTCGCGTTCCCGCCGCCCCATTCTCTCTCTAAGACAGAGCATTTCTTCTCACTCTTCAACCATTTCTTTAGAAAAAGAGGGCTCTCTGCCTCTCTCGTTATCAAGAGAAGCAAAAGTTCAGTTATTCTTTAATGGCAAAGTCAAAGAATAATGCAAAGAAAGTTTCTTACATTTCAGTTCCATCACAAATTATCAATTCCTTATCTTCTTCTTCTTTGCAATCTCTTCTTCTTTCCCCGAAGAAACCATCACGAAACAGGTTTTTTGGGTTGAACTTGTATAGGAGTCCAAGATTTTGGTTCTTGGCTTTGTTTCTTTTTTGTTTTCTTGGTATGTTAAAGTTATCGTACAATCTTGACCCTTTAGTACCATTTTCTCCTTACCCTTGTGTGACTAGTCAGCCACAGCTGCAATACTCTTTCTCTAAGAAGTTAACTACAAGATCACAACTTGGTTTTGTTTCAAATGGTGAAAAGAATGATAAAAAGGATCAAGAAGTTGGGTCTGTGGATGCTCGGGAGCTGAAATCTGAGGTAGGTTTTGGTTCAAATGAAGTAACAGATGAGTCCTTGAAAGGTGTGGTTGATTTTCAGGGTGGAAAGTCTGATGTGGTTGAAGAGGAGAGTGAGTTTTGGAAACAACCTGATGGGTTGGGTTATAAGCCTTGTTTAAAGTTTAGTAGGGAGTATAGCAGATGGAGTGAGCTGATTGTTAAGAATAGAAGAAAGTATCTGCTAGTTGTGGTTTCTGGTGGAATGAATCAGCAGAGGAATCAGATTGTGGATGCTGTGGGGGTTGCAAGGATTCTTGGGGCTGCTTTGGTTGTTCCCATTTTGCAAGTCAATGTCATATGGGGAGATGAAAGGTAAAACACTAACATGTTATAGAGCTTTTTTTTTTCTTTAATTTTTTTTCTAGTTTTGCTAAACCTAATGGCTGCAGCTGCATTTATGCTTATTGATAAAAAGAAATACTGTCTTGAGTTTTTGGTGTTACTGTTATGTCATTTGTTTAGCAAAGGGAAGAGTAACTGAGAAACAGAGCCTTTTCAGCTGCATTTTGTTTGGAAACAAGGAAGTCCTTTTTTCATATGTTTGGAATAGTTTTGAAAACAGAACTTTCCTGTGTCTTTAATGTTGTTTTTAATAGGTTTGTGAGTTTACTTGTACTTAATGAATATTGTGTTTACTCAAAGCCAAATTGCTCCATGATGAGGAATTCTTGGCTTTTTAATTCTGTGTTTGTTTGTTTTTCCTCCAATTTATTAATTTCTCTCATTTTGACTGAATTCTGCAATTCCCATTTTGTATCATAGGTTATGCAAACTAAATTTGTTGTCTATAAATGCTTTTTGTTTGGTTAATTAACTTTTGTAATTTTGATTTTATATGTTGAGTGCAGTGAGTTTTCTGATATATTTGATTTGGAGCACTTCAAGAGAGTTTTAGCAAATGATGTGAGAATAGTTTCGTCATTACCATCAACTCATATAACCACAAGGCCAGTGGTTGAGAGCCGAACTCCACTCCATGTCTCCCCTCAATGGATTCGTGCACGTTATCTTAAAAGGGTGAGAATTACTTCTCAGTATCTTTTGTCATAGAGCGATTACTTATCTTCTTTGTATTTGTTGTTGCTTTGCAATTTTGCTCAATTTGTTGTTTGGAGTAAAAGGATTTTTGTATTCGTTTGTTGTTCACTTTGGAATGCTGATTTGGTAATGAGGGGAAAAACAGAGGAAAATTTAGGCAAATAAGATAAGGCTGGCAGCTGATAGTTTGTAACTAGGCATAATGGCCCACAATTAGTTAAGGCATTATAGAGCATGTATGTCAGCTTTTTGCCTTTTTCCTTGCTTTATTTGGATTTGGAGTATTGTGTTCTGGTTGTTGGGAGAGAATTCTATTAATTGATAATCAGGATTACAATAGTGACTTACCAAATGGCTGCAACTCTAGGAGGAGGTTAAAAATAATAGAAGAGGAGATCTGTTGGAAAACTTCATAATTTTGTTGTCAGTAATTGCAGCCTGGCAGTCCCAGTTATATTAATTGGTTCTGGTCTCATAATTATTGGATGGTTCTGTTTGTTTGCTGGATGGCATTTTGGATGCTAGATTCTTTGCCTGTACATTTGATTCACTGGCTTCAAAGAGTGACCAATTCAAGGTGTAGCTGATTTTAATATCAAAACACTTTCTCCTTTTGCCTATAATTTTTTTAGCATGTTTAATGCATCAACATGGGAGTTGTCATTTCACATTTGATCAACATCATTGTGCTCCAGCAGATACCAATTGGCATAGTGGGTCTTACTAGGGGTTTCTTTTGGTTCTGCAGCTTAACAGGGAAGGTGTTTTACTTTTACGTGGTTTGGATTCAAGACTTTCTAAAGATCTTCCTTCCGATCTTCAGAAACTTCGATGCAAGGTATTGTCAGATGTATTTGGTATTTAGTTTTTATCATTAGATTCATGGTTTTCATGCTTTAGTTAACCAAAAAGCTTGATACTTGCCATGCATGATTCACTCAAAGTGCCTCTCCATCCAACCAAGTGAAGAAAAAAAATGTGTCTGGTTTTTAATTTTATTTTTTGAATCTGGCTCAAATAAGCAGTGACAATTGTGCCAAAAACAAAATCATTTTGTGAATTTAAATTCAGTCAAATGCTTTTATTCATTCAGATTCCCATTGTAGATGTTCTGATCTCATATTGTTTTGTCCAGGTGGCATTTAATGCATTAAGGTTTGCGCCACCAGTTTTGGAGCTTGGTAACAAGCTTGCAGAGAGGATGCGGAGCAAAGGACCTTATCTTGCTCTTCATCTACGGATGGAGTTGGATGTGTGGGTGAGGACTGGATGCCAGCCTGGTTTGAGCCATGAATACGATGAGATTATCAACAATGAGAGGCAACAACGACCTGAACTCCTTACTGCAAGGTCAAACATGACCTATCATGAAAGAAAGCTAGCTGGTCTCTGCCCCTTGAATGCAATGGAGGTTGCAAGGTGAGAATTTAATCCTATGCAAGCTGTTGTGTGAGGATTCAGGCAACTAAATAGTTTCATCTATATGAACAATTCCTGAAGTTAAATTTTTGTTTCATGTTAATATTTTAGGCTTCTTAAAGCTCTCGGAGCTCCAAAAGGTACAAGAATATATTGGGCAGGAGGGCAACCACTTGGTGGAAAAGAAGCTTTGCAACCATTAACCAGAGAATTTCCTCATTTCTACAACAAGGAAGATCTTGCCTTACCTGGTGAACTGAAGCCATTTGCAAATAGAGCTTCCTTGATGGCTGCCATTGATTATATAGTTTCAGAGAACAGTGATGTTTTTATGCCATCTCATGGTGGAAACATGGGTCATGCAATCCAGGTACAGTCTAGCATCACTTTTTTTCTCTCCCTTTCCCTCTTTTTTTTATTGATTGCAGAAGCAAGTATACATGCTTCTCTAGCCGACTTTAGCAAATGATTCATTTGTCTAATTTTTGGATTTTTAGAATCTGAAATGCGTTTATGCTGCTATTTTGGAAACTTAAGTTTTGTTTTTGTTACAGGGACATAGGGCATATGCAGGACACAAGAAGTATATAACCCCCAACAAAAGGCACATGCTCCCTTATTTCCTAAATTCCTCTCTCCCTGGAGCTGAGTTCAACAGGATCATAAAAGAGTTGCATCGTGACTCCTTAGGACAACCAGAACTCAGGACTATCAAAGCTGGAAGAGATGTTACGAAATACCCGGTTCCTGAGTGTATGTGCAGTGATTCACATGCTCGCTCCTCTTTGTGATCGCATCCAACAGCTGTCAAAATGGCGCTCTTCGAATGCAAAGATTTTTATGTATGTGCAGTGGCTTGCATACTCTTTCATGATTAAATCAGTGCCTACATGAAGATAAAATGCTACATGTAAATTTCTTGGGAAAAGTAAATTGATTGGCATGCCCCAACGCTCTCAAGTCCTTTCGAGAGGCAAGTAAATCACGGTCCAGGCAATGATGGCTCTTTGGAGCTCCATTTTCAAAAGCACAGCTGGAGAAGGCAAGCTTTTGCGTGGTTCCTGATCAATGTCCCTTTGAATTGTGTGAGAACCGAGCTTTTGGATCCTCTAGCCATCTTTTGATAATTGCTGTGCTGTTCAGTGAATTTTAATAAGATAGATAAAACATACATGAGAAAGCTGTCTTTTCTGCATCTAAATGACTAGAAAATGAATGAACCAAAATGGTTACGTATGAGGTTCCAAAATTTTGCTCAAAACATTTGTTCAATGACAGTCCATGGAACTGAAGCAAATTTCATATCTGGTCAGCTTCAAATTCCTGAAATAATCGGAAACCTTTCTAAAGGACTCCAAGTGTTTTTGAAGTTTTATGGGTTCTGTTAAGAGTTAGAATTAATCAATTCATGTGATCAGTCCAACGTAAAATGGATTGAAAATTATTTGGATTTCTTTATTTTTGGAGCTTATTTTCATGAGATAGATCTGAACATGTTCAGCTATAGCTACTCTTATTACAATCTTGTTAAATGGAGATGCTATAAGGAACTCCCTTTCCCGTGACCTCAGCTTCAGAGAAAGGGTTCAAGAGCTAATAGGAAACAACTCCAGCTCCAGTTCTATTTTTCAGGTTAAAATCTTTGTTCCTTTTTATCAATAATTTCTCCAAGCTCCTTCAGTCTTGCATTAAACCTTTCAAAGGCAGCCGTAATGATTGGATTCTCTTCCCACGATGGCTCCTTTTGCTCACCAATGTATTCTCCAAGCTCCTTCAGTCTTGCATTAAATCTTTCAAAGGCAGCCCTAATGATTGGATTCTCTTCCCACGATGACTCCTTTTGCTCACCAATGTACTCCTCATCTGGTGAATGGCTAGATATAACATCCAAAACAGTCATCTCTTTCCTTGCTTGAATCTGTGATGGGAAGTATTTTAACAGGCAAATCCTGGTTTCATCAGGAAGAGCTTCAACTCCTCATCTGATGGCGCCGCCTCGGTTGGCATGGGTTCGAGCTACTGTTGGGGAAGCACCCACCATACATGTACTGACCAAAGTTTACAGCTGCATGATGGCCTGCAGTCACCCAAATTATTGTACTAAGACATGACACTAGTCTTCGGGGTTTTCAGGACAGGCCACCGTGGTTCATCCTTGTCTTCTTGGCCTTTAGTCCTAGCCTCGGTCCACCGTGATTGAAGTTCCTTGTCGGACTCCACCATGCTTGTTTCGGGGTAGTACTGGTCCACACAGTCGGAAACCCATTGCTTAATTGCATCCCGAAGGATAAGACCATCATTGGCGAATGGATATTCTTTGATTGCCAGCTTCAGGCCATGCTTAGCTGTCGGATCCTCAACTACCATTCCCCTGATTATAACTCTACATCTTAATCTTAATCAAATTTTGCAATATAATAAAAAACTAAGAAAAAAAAATTGGCCGAGTTAAGCATCTTTAACATATAAAATCCATGACAAGTTTACCTTATAAAAAAATAAAGTTAAAAAAATTTATTGTTAAAAAACCTCAAAAATATAAGACTCTACATCTTAATCTTAATCAAATTTTGTAATATAATAAAAAACTAAGAAAAAAAATTTGGCCGAGTTAAGCACCTTTAACATATAAAATCCATGACTTGATTTTACAAAATTCATGACTTGATTTTACAAGATAATTTTATAAAAAAGTAAAATTAAAAAAATTTATTATTAAAAAACCTCAAAAATATAAAAGAACTTGGTCCAATTTTTTAAACTCGTAACTCTAAAAAGATAATAAAATCAAAATAAATAACATAATGAGAGATAAAATTAAAAAATAAAATTTAAAACAAAACAAATAATAAAAAATAAAAACTAAATCTGATATAAAATAACACAAACTAAAAAATTAAAGAATGTAATTAGAAAAATAATTTAATAAAAAAATAATATATAATATTAAGGAATGCAATTAAAAAGATAATTTAATTAAGAGAATAATTAAAAAAATTAATGATAAAAAGAATAATGACTAAATTTAAAAAATAAAAAAATCAAAAGAAGGCTAAATGGAAAGAAAATACTAATTTTATATGTTATTATTTTTTTAAAAAATAAAAATAAAAACTAAAAAAATAAATTAAAAAAGCTATTTTGAAAACGTGCAAGGAAATGCTCTAGAACCAAGGAGAAGGGAAATGAAGAATGGCCATTAGAAAAAAAACCCAACATGTTTTTTGGTACAAGCGCCGCCTATTAATGGAGGCAGTGTCATGAGGAATACAATGCCATCATGGAAGCAAGATTTTAGTTGCAGAACGACATCGTGTGAGTGTCTCTGGGAATGTCCCATGCAATTGACTTTTTTAAAATTAATTAATATTTTATATATGCTTAGATACTAAATTACTCCTGATTAAACTTTATAATCACAAAAAGAAAAAAGAAAAGGAAAAGACATAAAAACCCCTGACAGACAATCTTAATAATCTTTCCAGCCATGGAGGAGGCAGAGAGAGTATTTCCTAAGGAGAATCACGAGCGCAATTGCATGCCATGACTGATCAAAGTTAGAATTACAAAGCATCCAATTAATCAGCCACCATTGTCCCTTCTCATAGAAAGGAAGATTTGAAGATAGAGAGCAAGAACCACTTCATCGAAAGGATTTATTCTACACGGTCACCAATTCATCCAAAGAAATACAGCATCGGAGCTTTGATTACTTGTATTAGAAAATCAAAGCTTGTGTTGCAAAATTTGTTAATCAACATAATGGCGGATCATGGATGACGTCCCCATCAGAGCAATCAAATTACAATGAAGGCAAGAGTCCAAAAAAGCTTTGCTCTGTCGAGATGCATGTGAGCAAACGATCTGAGAGACTTTCGTCACATCCATGCATCATGATGCTCTGCTCTGAATTTGAAGCCGAGCTAGTCAGACAAAGCACAGTGCAAGAACCTTTAGAACCTCTTATGAATCAAAACCATCAAAAGAAGCAACCGATTCAGAAGTGGTTTCAAATACAGCAGAAACTCCATCGCATGGATTAAATTGATTGAATTAATTCTCGGAATTGCCAAAAAGTTCCTTGGACAGCATTCCATCGCTATCCATGCAATGCAAACACTCTTACACAGCTTCCATCAAACAGGATACTTCTTTAGAAGAAAGTGGCCACAATGGTGAAAGTGCAACCACCTTCCCAATGATTATCAGTGTTGGGGAAACTAACTCTTCCCGCGCAACTTTATCAGCAAGATCATTTAATTCTGCAAAAACCTGTGTGATGATTGTGAACGGCTATTGTCAGTTCATAACAACATCATCACTTCAAACAGGCAAACTTCTAGTGAATAAGCTTTTTAGTTATCATAAAATGTCGCCTCTTAATTTTAAGGATCAGAAGTAAAACAGATATGAAATGGAAACAAGCCTCTACAATAACAACAGTAATTTGCGAAGAGATACAATTACTCAGTATCAGCTGTAAGCCTTAAGCCTAACCCAAAACTATACACAAGGAAGAAACATCAAAACTAATTCATTTCTGTTCTATTCTTTTCTGCATAGAATTTCTGTGAATTTGAATGAGGTGAACACTACAAGGCACAACCCTTTAAATGGACTCTCCCATTTTTGGCATGCATCTAGTACACGTCCTAATAACTTAAATTAACATTTTATTTTAGGTGAAACCTTTCATTTTCAGAATGAAAGGAATTTCCATAAATTTGAACTAAAAAGATATCATTGCTTAACCATTTCACAAATTTTGCTATCAATAGTGTGCCAAGGTAGAATTATTTCCATGCAAATCTTTCTAGAAAATCACTGTTTTCCTAATATTAACTAAATAATTTATACCTATGCTTCACATATTCCTTTGTCGATGCAACTACATTTCTCAATATGAAAAATTTTTAAAGGAGAACCATAGCACACCTCGAAATACACAAGCACTTATTTAATAACCTCATAAAGTAAAATCATATTGGTATTTCAATTCTATTTATAATTTCCAGTGAGGTGCTTGTCATATATGATAATAATCATACTCACCATGCGCTGCTGGGGTGTGGTCCCTCTCTCAACTGCAGCAGCTGGAGTATTTGCTGGCAGACCATGCTGCATCAACTTCAATGCAAGGGCAGGAAGAGTTGACAAGCCCATATACACAACTAAGGTTGAATCAGGGTCAGCTGAACTTTCTGCTACAAACAAGGGATCCGTTCCTCCGTTCCTTGAATGGCCAGTTAGAAATCTAACACTATTTGCAACACCCCGATGAGTCAAAGGAATCCCAAGCTCTGCTGCTATACCTGAAGCAGAAGTAATACCTGCACAGCAATGAATAGAGAAATCACAATGCCATCCATACTATGAGTTTGTTTCACTTCCCAAACCAGAAAAGCATCAGGCTTGAAAAAATAGAAGAAAGTAAGTTTGCCTACTGAAGCAGAACAGTTATGCAAGACCAATTAAAAAGTTTTAGTAGCAGAAAAGGAATACAAAAACCTGCAACACCCTGATCTATTAATGGCATGCCTAGTTTTTCCACGTAATGGGTTGATGTTCAAAGCCAGAAAAGACATAGTATTATTCAGACCAGAATTAATTGAAAGATGAATGCTAAACTATATGCATTCAATTTCTTCAAACGATGTAATTCCAAATTTCTATCATGACTCTTGGAGATGGCTGTCATCTTCCACATTCCGAGAAAACCAGATGTGCTCTCGTTGTGAATCTATACTTGGTAATAGGATAAAGGAGATGTGCAGAATCATACCTGGGATAACTTTAACTTGGATTCCCTGCTGTTGCAAAAAATCCATCTCTTCTCCACCCCTCCCAAATACCTTTGAAACACAATGATATATGTCACCTAAAGCTCGACTATAAAGCTCATTACATTGCAATCACTGGCTAAATCTAGCAGCATCTTAAATCAGAAACTTACCAGTGGATCACCTCCTTTAAGTCTCACAACAGTAGCACCTGCTTCAGCAAAACTTAAAAGCAACTCATGTATTTCCTCCTGAAAAAAAAACGTTAAAAA